CGGCCAGATTGGGCTAGTCGGTGTTAAGAACGAACTACTGTACTTAGTACTTTTACAGTAACAGTAAATTAACTATTTTAATATGTAGCCCAGGTGTTCGATGATTACTTTCCATAGTCGGGATTGCTGCTTGATTAACTGGGTTAAGTTAGTTAAGTTTACCTGAGACTGTGAGACTGACTAAGTAAACTTCCAACCAGAAAAGAAGGCACCGACCCAAACTACCAGTACCTACTCGCCCGCCAACCACCTCCAATTCCCTCTCCCTCTCTCTCCTCCACTCCACTCCAGCCCAGCCTGTCTCCTCTCTCCTCTCCCTACTCCCTCTCCTCTAATTCCCTCCCTCCCTCATCCTAAGTGACTTACTCTCCGCACAACAACCTCCTTGTCAGCAAAGCACGCCACAGCTTTACCAACCCTACCCAACCTACTCCTTTTACACCTCTGACCACTTCTGTTCCTCTTTTCTCTCCAGTCGACCTTGCTTGGCACGGATATGTTCTAACAACTCTTTCCCAATCCTCTTGGGCACTCAAATGGTCTTGACGGGCGTGTATCGTGTTGGCGACCCTCTTTAACACCGACTTTGCTTCGACAAGAGTCTAGCCGACTTTCTCGCACACAGAACTACGATTCCTCGCCCCATTATAAAAAGGTCCTGTTCACCGCAATAGCTTCGCAAAGTATCTGAGATTATCTTCGATGGTGCCTCATACTTCATCACACTCTCGACCCTGAGCCCGCCCTGACCACGCTATTTTAGCGCGACAGACTCTCAAACCGTGCTCTACACTGCAACCCCGTCCCTACAACAGCACCGGACTCTGGGAACACGCCATGGAGGACCGCGAAAATGGTCATGGTCTTGACCCTGGCTCTCCCAAAGCAGCGGTAGGACAATTCTCGTTTGCTCCTGCCACTCAAACCACGGTTGTGACGACGACCACCACTACGACCACCACTTTTCCACCCATGTCTATAAGGCCGCCTCACGCAATGCGAAATCTCGACTCAAAGCTATATCCTTTGGCATCATCTCCTACTCCTCAATCATTGAGAAACATCAAATTTGAACTTGGTGGGGAACAGGTTCTGTTTCACGAGCCGGAAGACACGGCAGCCAAGCTGAAGGAGGTATGTTTGTTTGATCTCCGCCTTGTGATTCTTGAATACGGCTCGCTTGTCTTGAATTTTTATGATTATACTGATATAATACATGTAGCTGAACGAAAAGGCGGTTGCTCTGAACGCTTCAAACGGTATGGTACGATCCGTGACCTCATTTACCTCCGATGATGCCCAACTGGCCCGACGTTCTCAACCCCTGAACCACCTCTCCATATCTAAGCGTCGCGCGATCGAGAACAGTCACCGTATTACTCATGCGTCTTCCCAAAGAGTTCCATCCGAGCCTTCAGCTCGTTCGTTTCGTTCTCAAGCCCCTACGCAAGCACAATCCATGACGGCTGGCCTCGTCACTCCGGAGACGGAAAGCAATAACGGTGCGGGGGAGGGTGTCATTCCCAGACGGAGGGTCTACAGTCTGAGTAATCCTCGCCGAGAGACATTGCTACGATCCCCGTTGTCCTCGGAGATTGAGTCGCAGGGCACTTTTCCAGGAAACAACATCTGGAGAGAACCGTCCCGCACCAAAACCGTAGTCTCAGACCGAAGCAGGCCGTTAGCTCGGAGTGACACGGAATCAAGCCTCAGTCGACCTCACTTAGGGGCGTCTGCAAGTCAGGATTCTGGATATGGTGCTCCGGACGACGATTCTCAGCATCCACCAAGCGAATCAGCGTCACAGCGGGCATTTATCGATAATGTGGTGGCACAAGATATGTGCTTGCCTAGCCCAAGTCTGTCCCCAGTCGCTGCGATGAACGCAATGAACGTTGATTCCTCGTTCGACTCTGCCGAAGACCCAGAAGCTGACACGGATTCAAGTTATGACAATAATGACACCAGGGCGGTAGGTTCTTTGCGGAATGTGCAAGCGAAGGCAACGTTCGTTGAGCAAGCTGGCGGCAGCTCCTCGACGTCTGTGACGCAGCGGTCTGCTTCGCTAATGGAGATTCCCGCTGTCCTGGATTTTTTCGACGCGATTCCCGATCCGATGAAACCGTATGTCATGCATCAGCTGCTCAAACGTTGTCCCAAACCGACCTTGCAGTTTGTTGCAGACGTTGTAAATCCGGCCCTGAAGTGTGATTTCTTGTCTGCTCTTCCGACCGAGCTAAGTCTCAATATTGTCAAATATTTCGATGTTCAGACCATGTGTCGAGCCGCGCAGGTGTCCAAACGATGGCGACATATCATCAACTCTGACGAGAAGTCGTGGAAAGAGCTCTTTGATCGAGATGGCTTTAAACTTCCCGATGGAGAGCTGGAACGTGCAATCAGAGAAGGATGGGGCTGGCAGTTCCCGAGCGGCAGCGAGGACCATGAAAAAGACTTGGGTACATTGCCATCCTTCCAGTCTGATGAGGAGTCTGGCCACAGCAAGAATGCGGTATCTCTTGCGGAGTCAAGTGACATGGCATTGTCTTTTAGTCGTCGACCGAAGAGGAAAGCCGTCACGCGTGTCTCAAGCCGGAAATTAACAAAGAGGAAGATTTCTTCAAGCGGAACTGATCATTCCGAATCCGCAGATTGGAGAACAGAGGTGTCTAACTCGGAAGGACCTTACGCTGCCGCGAATGCCGCAGCTGCCGCTATCCCATACCCAGAGATAGGTCTGCCAACCCTACGAGGACTTCATCTCTATAAATCGCTGTATCAGCGTCATTATGCCATCCACAAAGCTTGGATGAAACCGGATGTCAAACCAAGACATATTGCATTTGGGGCACACGGTAACCACGTGGTCACTTGCTTGCAGTTTGACACGGATAAGATTGTGACTGGAAGTGATGACACAAATATTAATGTTTTCGACACAAATACTGGTGTTCTCAGAGCAACCCTGGAAGGCCATGAAGGTGGCGTTTGGGCTCTCGAGTACTACGGCAATACTCTGGTTTCTGGATCTACCGATCGATCAGTCAGAGTTTGGGACATAGAAAAAGCGAAGTGTACCCAGGTCTTCCACGGGCACACCTCAACTGTACGCTGCCTGCAAATTGTCCTACCAACAGAAGTGGGGAAAAAGGCCGATGGCTCTGCTGAGATGATGCCTAAAGAGCCGCTAATCATCACAGGTTCTCGTGATTCCAACCTGCGGGTCTGGAAACTTCCGAAGCCTGATGACCCTGAGTATCATCCTAGTGGACCTCACTCGGACGACACTGATTGCCCGTATTTTGTTCGTGTTCTTACTGGTCATCAGCACTCGGTCCGAGCGATTGCAGCACATGGTGACACGTTGGTGAGCGGGAGTTATGACTTCACAGTCCGGGTATGGAAGACGTCAACGGGAGAAGTTGTCCACAGACTTCAAGGTCACACACAAAAGGTGTATAGCGTGGTCCTGGATCATAAACGGAATCGCTGTATCAGTGGAGCCATGGACGTCATGATCAAAGTCTGGTCTCTGGAGACAGGGTCACTCTTGTTCAACCTGGAAGGTCATACCTCTCTCGTTGGACTGCTCGACTTGAAATATGAACGTCTGGTTTCAGCAGCTGCAGATTGTACTCTGCGGATCTGGGACCCGGAGACCGGTCAATGCAAGAACTTGCTGAGCGCCCATACAGGGGCGATCACATGCTTCCAGCATGACGAACAGAAGGTCATCTCCGGCTCCGATCGAACTTTGAAGATGTGGGATGTTCGCACTGGAGAGTGTGTTCGAGACCTTCTCACCGATCTGGGCGGAGTTTGGCAGGTCAAGTTCAATGATCGTCGCTGCGTTGCTGCAGTGCAACGTCGTGAAGTGACCTACATCGAAGTGAGTGTTATGTTTGCTGTATACAAGAGTTATTTGCTGACCATTTCCAGGTTCTCGATTTTGGCGCTTCGCGTGACGGTGTGCCCAGTGAGCAGCTAGGCAGACGTATTCTTGTCAATCGCTGGGGCAACGAGGTCAGCGATACTGACGAAGATTACGATGTGTCGGATGCTTAGATCAGACCCTGCTGCTTGTTGTCCGGCTTTTTTCCCCACAGAGACGATCGAAGGCAGTCAGTCGACATCTAGGCAACGACACGGCCGCTTCATTCCCTCGTTTTAACTCAACAGATCCAGCCATGAAATAATTACGATACCCCTCCATGGATTTTCTTTTCCTATCATGAGACTTGCATAGCGTGGTTAGCATATTTTGATGTGCGGCATAATGATGGGTCGGCGTTGTGGCATTCAAAACATCCTGTTGACCCCAGGGTCAACGTTTTTTCCGTCTTGATCTGCGCCATGTCTCGCATATTCTGTGTCCATATGCATTTAACATTATCTCGAGCCACAGGCCTCCAAGGTCTCAGCCTCTGTTCATGCATAAACATATTTTTGCACACATTGCAGCTGTTCCAATACTCACTTGCCATAGAACTCAATAAAAAATGTCTCTGAAGTGGCCCTGACTAGCGCTTGTAACGAATACATATGTCTTGTTGAAAATTACTTATTTACACGTAATATTACAATGCGCTCGTCGATCAAACTGACGGCTTCAAGCAAGCGTCAACAGAGACCGTGGATCCTAGCATAGCCTGAAAGTTTTGAGAGTCGCACGCGGACTCGCGCATTAATCTGCAAGGTATGCATGTCGATAGCAAGGTCAAACCACATGACCTTCACAAATGGGCGCCGGTGGCATCGGACATGATGCGAGGCGCATGGCTTTTGCTCCAAATGAGACAGAAAACATGGCAATATTAATGCCTCCCGCCTTGGGGGAGCGGAGAGGTGAGCATGGACCCCCCCGTCTTTAGTGAAAATCAATTCAAGGCACGTCCAAAATGTGTTCCTGATTCCCTTCCGCTCTCTGTTGTATGGGTAGTACCATGAGTTCGATTTCTGGGGGGTCCCCGTGAAAGAGCCTCTCTCTCTCCATCTCTGTTTCATTGTCGTTTGGGCGACACTTGGAATGAACGCTTGCTTGACCCGGTGAGCACCTTCGTGATCGGAAGTTTACCGGCCTTCTTCTTAGTGTTCTTCTTCTCTTCGCCCTCCTCGTTCTGTACCTGCGTCGTCGGCGCCGCCACCGTCACCGCCGCCTTCTCTTGCTTAATCACATTCCCCTCCGCGTCCAGATTCGCATCATACCCGGCCGCCTTCAAGATGGCCCAGCGCAGGGCGGAGATGCCGATGTAATTGCCGGGGGTGCGCTCGACGTGCGCACAGGCGGTCAGAGTCTCCCCGAGGGGCGGGGGACCATTCCATTCACGGGCGATGTCGGCGGCCGACTCCCGGAACTCGCGGTGCAGGTCGCGACACGCGGCGAGGGAGGACTCCGAGACGCCGGAGCGGAGCTGGTTGCGTTGCTTGACGAGGACCTTGTCGATCTTGGGGACGACGATCTGGTAGGGGAGGCCGTATTCGCTGAGCCAGCGGATGATGACGCGGTCCATGGGCTTCATGCCGTGGAAGCCGTCGATGAGGAGGAAGATGCGGCGGAGTCTATTTGTGTGTAGCTTTTAAGTTAGAAGGTGGGCTTGCGTTATGATTGGTGCTCGAGACCAAAACGTACTGCTTCCTCTTCTGTAGGTACTTCATGATTTCTTTACCCCAATCATACCGACCGCCATAGCCGTATCCCGGCATATCGAGCAGCACGATCTTTGACTCGCCGCCTTTGGTGCCGCCGATGCCGAAGGCGTTCATCTCCCGCGTCCGGCCGGGTTTCTTCGAGGTGTAGCAGAGATCGCCCGTCATGAGGGCGTTCAGGAGGGAGCTCTTGCCGACGTTGGAGCGGCCGAGGAAGCAGACCTCGGGCTCGTGGGCGGACATGGGCGTCGTCCGGAACTTGCTGGCGGACCAGAGCTTGACCGGGGAGTGGCGCGAGGGGGCGAAGAACTTGTCTGCGTAGGCGAGCTGGGCGTCATTGGGGCACTCGGTCTCATAGTAGTCATTGAGAATGGTTGCTGGTAGGTCGGAGAGGAGCGTCTTCGGGGTAGGGTGTGCTGGTAGGTCAGAGAGAGGCGTATTCGAGCTAGGGTGTTGAGGTTCGACCGCCTCTGCAGGGCTGAAGAAGTCTTCTTCCAGCGGAGGCTCTGTAGGCGAGGAGTTCCTCGCCGTTACTGCTGAGGAGAAATATCGATGGACTTGTGCCTGTAACGGCCGGATCGAAGACCTGAGAGTGTATAGTTGAATAACCATATTGGAAAGCTGTTGTCTCCCCCACTCAGAACAAAGGTTGTTGAGGTGATGATGGTCTGGTAGTTTTTGGAGACAAGCTTTCCTCCGCGGCGTACGGAATCAGAAAATCTGCCGGGCGGTGACATTCTAGGTCGGTCCGATTGACTCCACCGCCTAATCGATAAGAAGATGCGTCACGCCCGCGGAGGGGAAATCGGAGAGCTTCGGAGATACGCACAATCCAGACTGACTCGGACTACTGCAGGTACTGTTTCTGAGCTGGTTCACTTGGAGTACTTAACTCACCACCTATAATCTTTCTCTCTTTCAATCCCTTCGCAACGCGTCCATATTCTAGAAGACAGACAACAGCAGGCCTCCAAGATGATCAACGCCGTCCTGGTGTTCAACAACAACGGTCAACCCCGTCTGACCAAGTTCTATACTCAAATTGTGAGATGTTCTCTCTACAAGCCTTGCCCACATCCTCTCTTATCTCCTGCTCACCCGAACCTCCCAATTTCCCCACCTAGCCTTGTCATTGCTAACCCTCTCTCGCACACACCAGGACACCCAAACCAAACAGACCCTCATCACCCAGATCTACAACCTGGTCTCTCAGCGCCCCCCAAGCGCCTGCAACTTCCTGCCCCTCCCGCCGCTGCTCTCGCGCGGGGCCAGCGCCAGTGCCGCCAACGGGCCCTCGGACGCGCCCACCCAGATCACCTACCGCACCTACGCCACCCTCTCCTTCATCATGATCTCGACCTCGACCGAATCGCCCCTGGCGCTGATCGATCTGATTCAGGTCTTCGTCGAGGCCCTGGACCGCATGTTTGAGAACGTCTGCGAGCTGGATCTCATCTTCGGGTACGAGACCATGCACGCGGTGCTGGGCGAGATGATTGTCGGCGGCGTGGTCGTCGAGACCAACATCGAGAAGATCGTGGCTGGCGTGAAGAGCCAGGAGGGCCAGCTGGGGAAGAAGCGGGCTATTCAGGCCGCCAGTTCGGGGCTTGGGAGGGGTGGGTTGCCTGGGCTGGGTGGGTGGCGGTAGAATCCAGTTACTCTATACGGTGATAGACCGTAGGAAAGGGAAGGAAGGGCTATGCATCAAGCGATGTCTGATACCACAGTAAGGATGAGATGAGACTCTCATGTGTAATGATTTTCTTTGGCTGTATACGGTTTGGTTATTTTGTATGCGCATACAGGGTTGTTCTGTTGATGGCGTTGGGGTAATGTGATTAGACTAGACCTGGCTTATTCCTGATTAGAGGCAACCAGTGACTCGGCAGACAATCTACAACGAAGCTACACTAGCTACTATAACTATCAATAGCTATTGAATTAAGGATATGGAGGCTGGAACATGGTACAGCACAGTACACCGCCCGCTATTCTGCCAGGGGGTTGAGCCCTATCGCACGTGATGGACAGAAGTCTGGAACGCCGGCAAGGCAGTTGTTCCGAAGGCGGCCCACAGAAGCGGCAGGCGGCCTTTTCTCCGCGAAAATCAAATTGCTTCCCTTCGTTTCTTCTTCTCTTCTCTTGATCGTCAGTCCCGTCACTCAACGCCGCTGCGGATCTCAGTCGACAACAATGGTGGTAAGCATTTGAGATTTCTACATCCCAATGAAGCAACAAAAATTCCTCTACCCTCTAGAGAGAGAGAGAACACACCCTTGTCATCGACAAACAATTGCCGACGACCGACATGTTGTGTGAAAGACCACAACTGTGGGAAGTCGGTAACTTGCATCTCGCGCACCTCAATCTTGAGATGGCAATGTTTTCCGCTGCATTTCGTGGATCTTGGGAACCCTTCGCTGGGCCCTCTCAAGTGAAACGGAATCAGTGATGATTTGGCTGGAGTCGCAAGGTTGTAACCGGAGTCTTTTTTTGTTCCGTTTCCCAGTGTGATATGAGCTTGAGATACAGTTCATGCGCACAGGAATAGGAGCTAATTCAAGTTTCGGCTGCAACTTTGCGATCTCTCTAGAGTTTAAAGAAGAGTTTCAGCACAAGAAAAAAACACAACATGGTGGAGCACACGATGCTGATTTCTTCTTTTTTCTCAATGATAGCCCCCTAAGTCCGGAAAGAAGGTTGCCTCCCTCCCTTACCCCCAGGGTAAGGCTGGTTCCAAGAAGGCCGCTAAGGTGAGCACACGCCATTCAGATCTTGGGCTTGACAAGGCCCAGATCGTCGAAAGACGACCTCTATGGAAACGCTAACGAATCTCCACCCAGAACCCTCTCATCGAGAAGCGTTCCCGCAACTTCGGCATTGGCCAGGACATCCAGCCCAAGCGCAACCTGAGCCGCTTCGTCAAGTGGCCCGAGTATGTCCGCCTCCAGCGCCAGAAGAAGATCTTGAACCTCCGCCTCAAGGTCCCCCCTTCCATCGCCCAGTTCCAGAGCACCCTGGACCGCAACACCGCCGCCCAGACCTTCAAACTCCTCAACAAGTACCGCCCTGAGACCAAGGCCGAGAAGAAGGAGCGTCTCCACGTCGAGGCCACCGCCGTCGCCGAGGGCAAGAAGAAGGAGGATGTCTCCAAGAAGCCCTACAACGTCAAGTACGGTCTCAACCACGTTGTCGGCCTCGTCGAGAACAAGAAGGCCTCCCTCGTCCTCATCGCCCACGATGTTGACCCCATCGAGCTGGTCGTCTTCCTGCCCGCCCTCTGCCGCAAGATGGGTGTCCCTTACGCCATCGTCAAGGGTAAGGCCCGTCTCGGTACCGTCGTCCACAAGAAGGTATGTCTCCATGCTGCTCTGCTCCAAAACTCTCCATATCCCTCGAGGAAACCCGTCCTAACATCTTCCCTCAGACCGCTGCCGTCCTCGCTCTCACCGAGGTCCGCTCCGAGGACAACACCGAGTTCTCCAAGCTCCTCTCCGCCATCAAGGAGGGTTACACCGACAAGTACGAGGAGTCCCGCCGCCACTGGGGTGGTGGTATCATGGGCGCCAAGGCTGTCGCCCGCCAGGAGAAGAAGCGCAAGGCCGTTGAGGGTGCCATCCGTGTCTAAGCTAGTCTCGTGTCACTAGATCCCCAGATACCACAAAAAAAGCTTAGTTATGTGAACCGAAAAAATTTCACTGCACTGACGGGTTACCACAAAAAGATCTCTTATACCCAAACGAAACCTTCAATGACGCGGTCTTTTACCTTTTTCCTCCATGTACAACCTTGCAGATACCCCCTCTTCATGAATGCTATTTTCCAAATGACTTCTCAACTTTTTGTCTCTTGCACCTTCCTCGTAGAACTACACTATGTTTTTTGCATTCAAAAGTTGAGAGAAGAAAAAGGAAGCAAAGCATTCATGTGAAGGGGTCTGCACCTCGTAAAGCGTAGTCCAGAGTTGCAGAATAGAATATGCACCCAAGGAATAACTACGCCCCACTCGTTCCTCCAGTGGCTAGTCTGCAAATGTAGCGCGGTATCAATCTCAGGCATTAAAATATACCGTCTCAGCCTCAGCCACAATACACGACACCTAGGCAACCAGGCTCCAAATCATACTTGGCTTCCATAGGTCCTCACGAAAATGCAATCAATGCTAGTTCCTAGTCCACATCACCCGAGTAGTAATAAAATACACCCCATGAGATCACACGCATGGTACAAAGAAAGCATCTATACAGAGAATAGCAACGTGTGGTATGCTGGCGTGTGGTATGGTACGACAAAAGCTAAACCCCCGCCAAATAATCAAAGAAGAAACGAATTGATACAACCAGCAAGCAGTACACCCCTTTCCCTTTCAACCATCCGATATGCTCCACTTATCGAAAGCACTGACAGGTCACAGGTCCCGCGCCATTAACGAGGTCAAGAGACTACCAAAGGGAGTCGGTAGAAGTAAGAAGTGGGAAAATGAAAAGAGAAAATAGGATAGACAAAGAGAAAAGGGAAAGGATTCTTGGAAACTCCGTGCACTTGCTGCGTGCAAGAGGAGGTTGATATCAGTCGAAGCAAGAAGAATATAATATGTGATGAAGGGGAATCGAATAAAAGTTGGTTGTTGGTCATTCGGTCATTAGCGCTGAGCAGGTGGTCGTGTAAGGCCTTGCCTTGCCTATACGTGGTATACTTTGTTAGTACCATATGGTGTGCGGAACGGACCGGGGTTGTGCTCACCTTCATCTGTTCGATTCTTGCTTTGAGTTGACTTGTCACTTCCGCAGCTCTTTTCCAGTTCTCTGCTGGTTCCGTGGACCTGGCAGGCTGGTCCTCGCCCGAAGCACTGCCAGAACCCCGTACGGATGAGCGTGTGGGGCTTCCTAAGCCAGAGTAGCCGGTGCCGAATGTAGGGCTGAGCTTTCGTCGCCCGAGGGCTCCTTCTCTGGTGCTCAGTGATGGAGAGTCCAGGCCGTTGTTCTCCTTCTCTTCGCTGGGGCTTGTGGAAGCATAGCTACGCGGCCGGGAGGTATCAAACCGTGATCCTATGTGGAGTCCAGCTCGGGACATCGGATTGTACCCATTGTGGCCCGAGTCTTGATAGACCAACCCTGGTTCAGAGATACTGATGTTGTCGGGCAGGGCATTTGGTGGGCTAATGGCACTGGCGCGCAGCGCTCTAGCTAGCTCGCGCTTTAAGCGCTCGATCTCGCGCTGCTGCTTCTGGACCGTCTGTTCTGCTGCCTCCGCGTCACTGCGTGCTCGTACCAATTGGGTCTCTTTGGCTTTGATGCTCAGAACATCCCTAGTGTGGTCTTCGATGAGCTGGGCGTTTTGGTTCTGGAGTTCTGTGATCTGAGAGTTCAACTTAGTCCGGTCGTATTTCAAATCATCAATAGTGCGGGTGTATCGCTCTTTCTCGAGGCGTAACTCTTCCAGTTCCGCACGTTCAGCGGCAGACATGCCACTCATCTGCGGTGCGACTGGGGCTGGAGCTGGTTCGACCGGAGCCGCTGGCCGGGCGATTGGGCGACCAGCAAGGCCCCTTCCGAGACCAAGTCGAGGTGCGGCAGGCGGCGGCGGCTGATCCTCTGAAGGGGGTGATATTACACGCCTTTGGGGTGATGCCAAGCCAGCCTGACCAGCAAGCCTCTTTTTGAGGCCACTAGGGGCAGGAACGCCGCCCGGCTTTGCAAGCCCACCCAGCTTAGACGGAATGGCTCTCGTGGCAGGTTTAGATGGGGACGGTGCTGGAGTTGGCTCCTCGACAGGAGCTGGTGCAGCTGCAGGCCTCTTCGTTCCGAGTGCTGGCTTCTTGCCACCGAGGACCTTCTTGCCAACTGCCGAAGCGGTCTTTGGCGGGCCAACGATAGGCTTGGGTCTGTCCTTCGCCTTGACCTCCGCCGTCTCGTAGAACTCCTTGATCTTCGTTTTCCGGATATCATCGAGACCATCAAGGTAAGGATTCATTGCCCGCTCTCCCAGGATTTTCATCAAGGTACCCAGAACCTCTGCGCCTCCAGCACGGTTGACCTCGCTAGACTCAGTCAGAAGCTTTGTAGCCGCCTCTGCAATCGACTTGATCTCTGGTTTGGCCGGCACGTCCCTGGTGGTACGAAGACAACGGATCAAGAATTTGAGGGTTTCTTGCTTGACTTGCGGGTTCTTGTGTTTGAGGAATTCAAGGATCTCCTCCAAGCATTCCGTCAAACTGGTGGCGATAAAGACCGAGTCGAGCGCTTGACCTAGGGCATCTGCGACGCTTTGTTTCTTCTCTTTCAATCGTTCCAACATCGGTGCCATGATAGTGGGTCGATACTTCAGGAACCCGCTGCGCAGGCCTTTGGCAAGTAGGTCAACACAGTTGGCGGCAACAGTCACGACTGCAACATTGGCATCTTTCATGGACTTGGCCAATAACCGTACCACCTCATCAAATGGCCCATCCTTGATTCTGGGTACGTTCAGTACAGTGTAGAGTTCATCCAGAGCCTCCTTCCTGTCCTTCCACTTCGACGAAGAAAGCTGTTCTGTGAAGTTGCCGGGTACTTTGGACGCCACATCAACGGGTTCCGCAAGGTCGAAAACGTCGACTTCGCCCTCATCCTCTGCATATTCCTCAACTCCCTCCATCTCGTCATCGCCACCTGCTGCAGGAGCAGCACTGGCGACAGCCGCCGCATCCTGCTGCGCTTTGGTGAGTCTCTCCTGCTTTGGTGGCGGTTCTTGTTTCACGGCTTCGAACAACTTCTCCAAGTCAGTCTGTTGAACAGGCTTCAGCTCGCCCCAGAAAAGGGGCTTGATGGCTTCCTTCAGCCACCTATAGAGCTCCACGGTAAGGTTTTGAGCTTCCGCCCGAACATTCTTGTCTGCGTGCCCAAAGACCTTGGGTAAAGCTTTTAGTACCGGCTTTGGGTCCACAAGCTTGCACCCGAAGTTGTGATAGATCGCCTTCAACCCCGCCAGCGCGGCCGCAATCACCTTGGGCATTTTATGTGACAATGCGGGCATCATCTCCTCAATCACCGGATCCGCCTTATCCATCTCCACACACAGAAGCAGGGCCTCGATCGCATTCGCTTTGGCGGCTGGTCGTGTAGATATGAGACCCTTTTCACAGATCGGTAAAATTGTAGTTGCGCGCGTTCTAGAGGGGTGAGACATCCTGTTAGTCTTGTGCTCCCAAATCGACCCCCCCTTCCTCCATCTCTCTCTGTTTCTCCACCCCGAAGCTCCACGAATCGAAAACACTCCCCCAACACGAAGAGAAACAAAAAGGGAAACATATAGACAAATTTACCTTGTACAAGCCTGTACCCCACCAAACTTCAAAAATGCACAATAGGCCCCAAGACCTTCTTGTTGAGCCGCCACATTGGAATCTGCCACCGCGCCTTTCCAGAGTCCGGGGTCTTGTATGAATGGAGTGAATACCGGATCCGACTCGTCCGGCGTCTTTTCGAATTGTTGTTTGGCATCTTCGTATCCTTCCTTGCGAACTTTCCAGTTCTATGAATTCGGAGCTCGCAATCAGTAATTGTTTTTTCGCCATATGACCGCCCGTCGAGCCCAGAACGAGGGGCTTTGCGGTATGGGAGGGATGATAATCCAGGGAAAAGGCTAGCTAACCTTGTGCGCGAACCGGTCGGGCAATGGTAAGGAGGAGAAGTCCTCTTCTCCCTCAGCCATTATGATAGGTTTCCCTTTAAAAAGTTCCCACTAGACGATGAGATTGAGACAAAGCGACATAATTAGCGGTTGCGCTCTGACGTAAATAGACTGGATGGCATCGAACTGCGCTTGTTGAGGTTCGATCCTCAAAGGTGACAAGTCCAAGCACGTTGCAAAAGTCCTGAACCTCAAGGGGGCAGGGAACAGCGAGAAACAGCATCGAAGGATTCTCCATCCAACCCTTCTAAAATGAAGACGTACCTGGGAAATTGCAGATGGTTGCAGATCTCGTGCACGGGCGAACAACCAGGAATAGAGACAGGGCGTAGGTTCCGGAACTCACGACCAGCACACAGTATGAAGGTGGTCTTCGAGATGGAGTTGTTCCAGTGACTGGAAGATGAGGTGATTTCAGGGTTTCAGTAGGTAAAAGGGCTCTTAAGCCGGAGGATGTCGAGGACGTGTGGCGACTAATACAAAGAGTGGGATAGGGAAGGAGTTGGAGAGAAAGTAAACAACGGCCAAAGTCGCTGGGGTGACTTCGCGACCCAAAGACGGGGCTTGGCAGCCGTAATTTTGCTGCCCGCACCGCGCAAACCGGGGGGGGGGGGAGGGGGAGCACAACAGGAGGCCGTTTGTTATCAGGTACCAATATTCGTTTGGATGATGAAAAGTGTGGAGTGAATGATTGGCCTAGTTTGAGATGACAGCACAATATACTGTTGTAATTGCCAATAATCAGATATTGTCTACTATCATCCACGCAGAAGGTGGGACAGCGCAAGAAGTATGTACTGCCTATAGCATAAGACGTAGTAGCGTCGCGTATGCCTTGACTCTACGTAACCCTTTACCCCGGAGTCTGGCGTATTGACTTGACTGACTGGACAAGCTCGAACTGAGATTCCACAATATGCCACATGAATAGCTATAATATACACAAGGTTTACATACCAACCATACACAGTCAATGAGAAGACGTAAATTAGAGAAAAAGAACTCCTGGTGAGCCCACTCCCACTCCCCTTTCTTCCTCTCCAATAAGAATGAAGCAGAGAACCATCAATTCCCCCACTTAGTTCTGTGTAGTCTCAGCAGCAGGCGTATCCTTAGCAGCCTTCTTAGCAGCCTCCTTAGCAGCCGCCTCCGCCTCCGCCTCCGCCTTAGCAGCCTCCTCGGCTTTAGCCGCCGCAGTCTGTGCTCTCTTGAACCCTATCTGTGGCACGAATGAGTCCTGTCGCTCCTGGATCAACCTCCGAATACGCCCGATGTGCTCCGGCGAAGGGGGGCCGCCCTTCACGTTGCCGCCCGCCTCGCGGATGCGGGCCTCCCTGCGCTGCCACTTGGCCGTCCGCTTCTCCACGCGCGCGGCGTCGCGCTCCTCGCGCGTCATCACGGCCGGCCGGTCCTCGATGGGCTCTCCGAAGGGGGCGATGATCCGCTCCACCACATGGTGCACGTTGCGGCTCTTGGGGTACCCGGACGAGAACTCGATCACGTCGCCGACACGCAGCGACTCGCGGGGGTCCGCGACCAGGATAATCTCCTTCTTGCGGTAGTACTTGCGGAGGTGGGCGTCCCACTCGACGTTCCAATGCATGACGCGGACTGTGCGCACCATGCGGCCGGCGGATATGACGGTGGCCTTTTTGAGCTTGTAGGCGTATTGGCGGAGCGAGGGAGGGGCCTCGGTCTGGACAGTACTGGAGGAAGGGGCATCGGCGGTCGGAGTGGCGGTCTCCACGGGTGGTTGCTCCTGCGGCTGCTGCTCTGTTTGTTGCTCGAGGAACTTGGGGGACGTCGTGGCGATTGATCGTTGGAAGAACGTAGGTCTGGAGAGGTATTGGGTGGCGGAGGCGGGGGTGCGGAGGACAGAAGTTCGCAGGGGCTGGAAGGCCCGGAGCACGTTGCTGAAGGCCATTGCGAAGCCTGTGTGATGTAGAGGGAATTCGACTGAAGGAGTAGCGTAGGGTCGTTGTTCAGTCACGACCGACTCGATCTGTTAGACAAGGCCGCACAGCTCGTAGGGATTGCGATCGTGCGAGGCTTGTTTATCGGACGATCACAATTCGAGAGGCTTTTTCTGAATGATAAAGCCCGGTATACTGTGATCGCACAGCAGAACCCGGAAAGTAAAGAGTGCTGGGGTAATGTTGAATCGACAGGCACGGCTAGATTTCAGATCGGAGCAGCATCGCGGCCGCGGGCGAGTTGGCCGAGAATTTCTGCAATCTCGGGCATGTTTGCACTTTTTGCACTCCCGCATACTTTCCCTCCCGCCTCCGCATCGCTCCAAGACACAATTGATTTGTCCTGTTCACTATATGCGTTCACAAACAATGCGTAACTATACTCAAGAATGGCGCTTCTCATTTAAAAACATTTCAAAGTGATAAGTGGGATATAATCAGTTGAGATATTCTAAACCATGCTCCTGTACATACACAGCACACCAACACCTCAAGACTCAATCCCAACCAAACCATGAAACCTGTGGCCTAAACGCAACAATGACTCTTTGATATACTCCATACAGTAGAAGATAAATGACTCGACCAGAAAATGGATAAGCACGCCATATCGAAAGCAAGAATAAGAATGAACACCATAATACGCGATCTTCCCCCAGCCCAACGCTTTCTGCAAGCCGAGCAGAGGGTGTATAAGTCCATGCCTATGCTTCTTGCGGAGCATTAACACCATTCTTGTGCTCCGAATGGTTAGAGGGGCCTGGAACTATAGAAGCCTTCCTGGCTTGGAACTTTTCCGCCGATTGAGTCGATATCCGAGTCAGCTCAGTAACAAATGACTGGCCCCAGAATGCGCTATGAAATATCAGTTAGAAGAGTGGTCTAGTACTCTCAAGCTTAGCCATACCTTGTATACTTGTTGACATATTTGTCCAGCTTAGAGAAGTTCAGGGCCCTCTGCTCATCGCTCATGGTGACAGCCTCCTGATAAGCCGCTGCAAGCTCTTCGGTGTTCCAGGGGTTGATAATGATACTGCCATTCAAGCTTTGCGCCGCACCCGCGAACTCCGAGAGAACCAAGCTGCCATGGCGTTTCTTTTGAGTGGCAATGTATTCGTAGGCCACGAGATTCATGCCATCACGTGTGGATGAGACAATGCAGGCATCGGATACGGCGTAGAGAGCGATCAGTTCGTCGAAGTTGACTGACTTATGTAGGAAGTGAATCGGCATGAACTCAACAGTGCCTGCCCTTCCATCAGCATGGCCTCGAGAAGTCAGTTTGGGGGTTACTCACCAAATTTACCGTTGATGCGGCCCACGAGTTCGTTGACCACAGCCCTTAGGTTTTGGTACTCTTCCACGTCTTGTCTGCTGGGAACCGCTACCTGAACCAGCACAACCTTTCCAACCCACTCAGGATGATCACTGAGGAAGACCTCAAGCGCATGTAGCTTTTGTGGGACGCCCTTAATATAGTCAAGACGGTCGACGCCCACCATCAGCTTCACGCCCTGGAATTTCTGCTCTAGCATTGCAATGCGTTTTTGAACTTTTTCCTTCTTGAGACCCTCCTCAAACTTCTCGGGATCGATGCCGATTGGAAAGGCGCCACAGGCAATCAATTTGCCCTGGAACTCGATTCCATTCGGAGTAGTAGGCAACCCCCTAAAGCTAGGGTTAGCAACTCTGGGTCATGTGCAAGGAATCAGTCATGCAACACATACAGCAAACGCGAGCAGGCGCTCAGAAAGTGTCTGGTATAATCGTAGGTGTGAAAGCCGATCAAGTCACAGTGAAGGACGCCGAGCAGTAACTCATTCCGCACAGGCAGGATTCTATAGATTTCGCTGCTAGGAAAGGGCGTGTGAAGGAAGAACCCGATCTTAACGTTCTCTTTGCTGTTGCCAATCTCCTCGCGAAGCATCTCCGGGAGCAGCATCAGATGATAGTCATGGACCCAGATTAAATCGCCGTCTTGAACTTCTTTCGCAACGGCCTTGGCAAAGAGGCGGTTGGCTTCCTTGTATGCCTCCCAGGCAGATTCATCGAAGGTAATCTCACCAGGGTGGTAATGGAAAAGAGGCCAGAGAATCGAGTCTAGAGAAGCAGGCAAGATGTCAGCGAAGATGGTCACGAAGTGGGCGCTCTAGTACATCGCGTCGACTATGCGACTTAATTGGCGAGGGGATGAACTGACTGGAGAACCCGTTATAGTGACGGTCCGCAAGCTCGTCATCGATGAAGACCGGCACAGCCCCGTACTCTTCCTTCAGACGATGTTTTACCTCGGGGATTTCCTCCTCTGGGACTTCCAGACCGGGCCAACCGTACCATTGGAAAGTCGTGGACTTCGAGAGACCGCTGAGTCCACTAACCAATCCTCCAGAAGACATGGAGAAGTCATATCTGCCATCCTCAGATCGCTTGATGGTGATAGGAAGGCGGTTGGAGACTAGTAACAGCCTGGCCTCGTTCGGGACGGGGTTATCGAGAGAAGGCATGCTGACGGTAATGCAGGCGATTGCGCAGAACTAGATGGCGAAAGATGCGCAGTCGAACTCACTGACCAATGATGCAGTTTGACACAAAAGGAGGATATGTATCAGAGCTCGTATCAGGTTCAAAAAGGTGGGGATAAGAATGTAAGAAGATGCCGTGAAGATTCTCACGCTTGAATTGATAGTGGTTTAGGGAAGAGATCGAAAGCGGTCAAAGAGAGAGGAGGGGTAGGACAAGAAATCAGTTTGGGCCAGTCTAGGAAGATTCAGCGGAAGTTATGAAGGAATTGGCGCGACTCCGGAGAGGAAGCGGGATGGCAAGAGGACCTCTTGGTGGGAGGGAAAATGAAGACGAGAAGGGAAAGCACCAGAGGAGAGGAGAAAATTGGCAAGATTGAGGACCTTCAACGGTTCAACGGGCTAAGAGAAGTTTCAGGTAAGTGGTGGTAGTATTAGTTGGCAGACGTAGGTAGGTTAGGGGAAGTAGGTAGGAGTTGGAGTAGGCGTAGGGTAGGGTAACTGTTAGGTCTGGCGGCGGGGAATAATGGCCGAAGTGACCTCACCGCAGCGGGCAGCGCGCGGACCAACCGACCCAGGCTTGGGCTCGGGCAAGAAGATCAAAAGAACCCAGCAACTTCCTCACTAGCAAGTTCATCGACTGAGCCAGTGGTCAGGCGGTGGAGAACAGATGCACATCCAGCAACAAGAAGTCTCTCGGTTGATTTGTGATTTGTGGTTGGTGCTGTCTGGATGGGCGAGTATAGAACTCACAGTTATTGCGAAAAGGAGTTATCGCTTTGAAGGAGAGGTGGAGAATATAGGCGGAAGAAGAAGTAGAAGGAGGAGAGATGAAAAGATGGGAGAGGGAGGGGGGGGGAGGAGGGAAGAAGCAGGTGGGGTGGGGAAAGAACTCCTACTACTTTTACTATGTACTATACGTACAACGACGGACAGGCTGCTTAACTACTGCTCGACTACTAAGTTACGAAGTACAAAGTTACAGTAAGGTTTACTTACTGACTGGCTGCTAAGGATTATTTGCTGAGGGGTTAAATTCAAAGTGTACGGAGTACTACGCAGAAAATCCATGATAATCCGTACAAAACGAACAAACGATGAAGTCACAGTCCGGAATGAACGATTCTCGGCGCGGGACCCTGCCAGCGAGTCACCGTCCCCATTTCATCCCACGCTCCCGGGAATATCAAGGGACCACAAACACTTTACCCTTAGTCTCAAGAACTTGTCTGGCGTTTCATGCTTGTCATCCTGCCAGAGTACTAAGTCATTATTATCATTATTCTCTTCTTCAAGGACACCTCTCACTTTTCCTCTCCCCATACCAGAAATTCCCTGGGCCCCCGGCCTGCTTTCGCCCCGCCCCGATGCGGACATGATGACGGTTAGACGGCGTAATCGCACGACCAACCATATCTTGTACTGTACCCGCCACTCAAGAACCTTGCACCTACACAAGGTACAGTATACCGGACTATCCCACTGCTATGGAGCCAAGTACGGCTCCATTCGAATCAGACCAGTCATGGACCAAATGGATCAGAATTGTCGCATCAGCTTACAGCACCTCAAAAGCATGAACACGAAGCAGAACGTCGGTACAGTACCAATGCAGACCGTAACGCAGGCTGGTCGTTCGGATGCCCGAATTCGTCCCAAAGAAGGTCCCAGCAGTGGATGGGTCTAGCCCCTCCGTCTATCCTGGCCTTCCAAAATTTTTTTCAGTATGAGGAACTAACTTCCTTTCATAGTAAGATTGGTTCCTAGAATTCCCGAAACAAAACTACATATACTTCGTATCTCTATGATTCTACTCCCGGCATTCCTGCAGTCAATCACGGATGAGAATCAAAAAAAAAAAAAAGAAAGAATAAGAAAAAGAAAAGAAAATAGAAGCGGGGGAAAAAGAAGCAACGAATCCCTAATCCTCCTCACAGACTCAAAGCGGGGATTTGCCACGCTCCAGGCTCCATTCATCCAGATCCCTGTCATGAACCACTCGACCTTCGTCCTCTAACTTCTGTAGCACAAGCTGTACGCCATGGCAGGCCGGTAAATGCAGGTTCTCCGGGACGTCTTTGTAAATCACCTTCACCAGCTCCATGGCGGTCCAGAAGGTTTTCGGGTGGATAGGCGGTTCCCCATCCGCAACCTCAAGCCGGCCGTACCGTAGGACCCGGATCACTTCATCCTCCCTCTGCTGTCGATGCTTGATATACTCGGAGATCTTGGACGTTGCATTGTCAATCACCGCCCCATGTCCGGGGTACCCGCGGCCAGAGACCCGATGCTGCATCCGCTGTAGGCTACCCATGTACTCGCCAAGGTCTTCGAAAACACTGGTACCATGTCCCAGTACATCTTGACACCACATTAGTAAGAAAGGAGACGCAGGATTCAAAATATACACCTTGGAAAAGCCAACTTACTGTCGCCCGTGAACACCGCATCCTCTTCCTCCAGGACAAACATCATGTGGTCGACGGTATGGCCAGGTGTGTGGTACGCACGCAGTGTTGCGCCCTCCACGCTGAATATCTGGCCATCCTCGATACTGCGTTGACCAGGACCCGGTTGATGCTTATAGATCGTCACGTTCGGGCAAAGCTCCAGAAGATCCGGGATGCCTTTGACATGATCATGGTGCCAGTGGGTGAGTAGGGCCTGGTGCACGGTTGCATTTTCCTGGGCAAGTACGGCTTTGAGGTGAGATGCCCACGATGGCCTGCCCTCGCCCGTGTCGATCAGAATGCGCTGGTGACCTCGACCGATGAGATATGTATTCGTTCCTATCGGGGCATGGTTTAGAGAGGTCTACAGGCTTCAAGAAATCGCTTGCATATGGGCTGAAAGGCACCCACCTTGAAGTGTAAACTAAGCAGCATCCAACTGGATTAGAGAAAGGCACTGCATGCTGCAGGTGTACAGGACTATGGAAGTGGTATGGGACGAACCTTGCCCGGATTGCCGCCCAGTATTCTCAGCACTGACGAACTTAACCGTTCCACCTCCGACAGGGTAATGAGTTGGGTGGCCATGATGTATGCACAACAGGGCCAACGAGTCTGTGATTACCTGGCCTGCGGCGGTATGGACTCTTCGGCGGACGTATTGTCCTGCACAATCAGCTGTCTGACGAGAGCGAGGAAAATCTGCTTATGAAAGCAGAATCGCTGCTACTCACTCTGGAAGACGTGATCTCCGCGCCTGATGGTGAAACTAGTTCTGCAAGTATGCCCTAGAGTCTAACGATTGATGGATCGCCGCCCGCAAGCGCGGAGTAAATGAAATCGGGGGAGACCTCGAGGATAACGGAGATATGCACGTCACGTGCGAGTATGTGTGGCACTTTCTGATCGTTGATAGACTGGACACAATGCACGACCATGACCAAAATGGAGTAACTCATATGGCTGGGGCAGGGTCGATCATTAAATGTACACGGCTTACTACTCAACGGTTACCTACCGAAGTGGGGTGCGCTGTGCTGGCCGCTGGCCTCGGCCTCGTCGGCATCACGTTCCTCTGTTATACCAAGCGGCATATTCAGAGAAGGTATCAATGGCACGCGAGCGTAGGTTGCCGGGTCTGGATACGAGGGAACAGTGACCAAGGAATTCGAGTTACGTAAAGGCATAATTGGAACAGAAGGAAAAATGGTATGCACGCAGTCCCTAACATACAGTGTATGATATAAAACAAAACAAAAAGAGTATATCCATGTAGTCCACCCTAAAATCTGAAGGGTACAAATGAAACCAGGCCCTGGTGGCAGAAACAATTCGTTAGATTTTTCGGATCACCACTCCGCATCTTCCAGCCAGCAGCCGCTTCCCCGCTGCTCGGCAATATCCACCGAGACCCTAAACAAGTCTCTTGGAGGTATCATCATGTTTCATCTCAGCGGACAGAAACCATATTTGTAGTTTACAGATGAGCTGGCCGCTCATCGTGGCCCGAGGCCCACTTTGGTCGAGTTGTTTGGATGACTAGCAATTTAAGCCTTGCCAGCCTTGCGGGCCATGGTGTTCAGGGCAGAACCATCCTTGAACCACTCGATCTGGGACTCGTTGAAGGTGTGGCTGAGCTTAACATCGAAGGAAGGACCATCCTTGGGGTGGACGCGGAGAGTCATGGGCTTGCCAACCTCGAGTTCAGTGCAGAGGAGGTCAACCTTGTCATCGGGCTTGATCTTGTCGTAGTCGGCGGGGTCGGAGAAGGTCAAGGGAAGCATACCCTGCTTCTTGAGGTTGGTCTCGTGGATACGGGCGAAGGAGCGGGTGATGATGGCAAGACCACCAAGGTGGCGGGGCTCCAGAGCGGCGTGCTCACGGGAGGAACCCTCACCGTAGTTCCAGTCACCAATGACGACCCACTTAACACCACGGGCCTTGTAGTCACGGGCAGTGGCGGGGACGGCATCGTATTCACCGGTGAAGGCGTTCTTGATCTTGTTGGCCTCGCCGTTCTCGGCGTTGATGGCACCAATCAACATGTTGTTGGAGATGTTGTCAAGGTGTCCACGGTACTTCAACCATGGGCCAGCCATGGAGATGTGGTCAGTGGTGGTCTTACCCTGGCACTTGATCAGGATAGGGATACCGGTGGCATCCTTGCCATCCCACTTCTCGAAGCCAGCAAGGAGCTGGAGACGGTCACTCTCGGGGGAGACAGCGACGGCAACAGACTCACGGTCCTTGGGAGGAGCCTGGTAGGTGTCACGGCCGGGGTCGTAGCCCTGGGCGGGGAGACCCTCGCCGGAAGGAGCCTTGAGCAAGAACTCGTTACCGTCCTTGTCCTTGAGCTTGTCGGTGAGGGGGTTGAACTTGAGGGTACCGGCAACGGTCATGGCAACGACAAGGTCGGGAGAGGCAACGAAGGCGTGGGTGGCGGGGTTGGCATCATTACGACCAGTGAAGTTACGGTTGTAGGAAGAGATGATGGAGTTGGCCTCGCCCTTCTTGATGTCGCGACGATCCCACTGACCAATGCAGGGACCGCAAGCGTTGGCAAGGATGACACCACCGTACTCCTCAAGAGTCTGGAGCTGACCGTCACGCTCAATGGTGGCACGGATCTGCTCGGAACCAGGAGTGATGGTAAAGATAGACTTGGACTTCAAGCCGTGGTCGAGAGCATCGCGGGCGATGGAGGCGGCACGGGACATATCCTCGTAAGAAGAGTTGGTGCAAGAGCCGATGAGACCGACCTTGAGCTCCTCGGGCCACTTGTTGGTCTCAACAGCCTCCTTAAACTTGGAGATGGGGGTAGCCAAGTCAGGGGTGAAGGGACCGTTGACGTGGGGCTCGAGCTCGGACAGGTTGATCTCAATCAGCTGGTCGTACTCGGCACCCTCATCCTCGCGGAGCTCCTTAGCGTAGCTTCTGGCGAAGTCACCGATCTGCGTACGCTTGGTGGCCTTCAAGTAGTCGTACATGCGGTCGTTGAAGGGGAAGAGAGAGGTGGTGGCACCGATTTCAGCACCCATGTTACAGATGGTGGCCATACCAGTGCAGGACAGGGAGTTGACACCAGGACCGTGGTACTCGATGATAGCACCAGTACCACCCTTGACAGTGAGGAGACCGGCAACCTTGAGGATGATATCTGTACGAACCGATGAGCTGATGGTCCAAAACATTTAGAATAGACATGCATATACTTACCCTTGGGGGTAGTCCAGCCAGACATCTCACCGGTCAGCTTAACACCGATGACCTTGGGGGCCTTCAGCTCCCAAGGAAGACCAGCCATGACATCGACAGCATCAGCACCACCGACACCAATGGCAGCAATAGCAAGACCACCAGCGTTGGGAGTGTGAGAGTCGGTACCGATCATCAGACCACCGGGGAAGGCATAGTTCTCAAGGACGATCTGGTGAATGATACCGGAACCGGGCTTCCAGAAACCAATGTTGTACTTGGCGGTAGAGGAGGCCAAGAAGTCGTAGACTTCCTTGTTGATCTCGTTGGCGCGGGCAAGATCCTTGTCACCACCAAGCTGAGCCTCAATCAAGTGGTCACAGTGGACAGTGGTGGGGGTAGCGACGGAGGGCATGCCAGCGGACATGAACTGAAGGATGGCCATCTGGGCGGTGGCGTCCTGGCAAGCAACACGGTCGGGGCGCAGCTTGAGGTAGGAGGTACCACGCTCGATGTCCTGACCGTGCGGGTCGTCAAGGTGAGAGTACAGAACCTTCTCAGCGTAGGTGAGAGGACGGCTCAAGCGACGACGAACAATGTCGAGGTTCTCGGACATCTTCCTGTACAATTGAAAAATAAGACATTAGCACGCGATTTCATCGATACGAATGCTTGTTGCATCTTGAGTTGATGAAGGCTGCTATGGTGTTTGCGTACTTGTAGTTGATGTAGTTACCCTGCGAAGCGTCTATTAGCAAATCGTGTTCCAAAACCGGTATTCGCATACCCGAAGCCAGCCGAGGGCACGGGAAGCTTTCATTGAGGGATATCCACCACTCACCTTCTCGAGGTTGGTCATCTCGACCTTCTTGTCGAGGGGAGAGTCGCTGACGGTAGCCAGACCCCGGGTCCCGAGGAACTGAGACAATTCATAATTAGTATTCCAAAGCTTTCTGGATTTTCACCTCGTCCCAGAACTATCGCAGTGTGGGATCTCTAGGGTTGAAGGAAGGCTCGAAGGCTTACAAGACGGGACTTAGGGGCCTATAAACAATTCAGTTAGTATTTCGTGAGCCCAAGGGGACACCAGCTGGCAGCCATCGCCTCTCGTTCTTGAGAGAAGGCGTCTGTCTGCCTCGCTGGATAAGGAGTACGTGTCCAGGTAGAACTTACCAGCGCACCCATGCGCGCAAGCCTTGTGGAGATCATGATGGAAGCTCTCTATGCGAGGTGGGCAAGGCCGCAACACATCCAAGGAGAGACAACCCAAAAAGGTGTGATAGAGTGGAGTGGGAAAGAGAGAAAGAGGAGAAGAAGAGGAAGAAGTAAGAGAGAAGGGAAAATGGAGTAGATAAAAGGAAGCTCTCTGAGTGGGAAAGAATTCTTGTTTCCGCCAGACAGCGATTTACTAAACCGGAGAAGAGGGCCAGCGCCGTGACCCGTAACCGCTCTTTGACAGTACGAGTCCCGTACGCATTCGTAGCGTGCGACCGGAGAGATGGAAGTGGCTGGATATAACCCCTTCTTACCGTCAGCATACGGTAATTTTGGTGGAATTCCGGTCGACCTTTTCAGACTTTCAGACCTCCCTTTCACCTCCAGGACCCATAATGTTCTTCTTTGCCTTTACCCGGCCAACCGCAGGCTGCCCGTCGATTCGAAAACGCTTCGCTGTCAGTGGTCTTTGCTCCTGGAGGCGTAATCGGACTGTCAAATCCGTGCTTTGAGGATGCGCGGAAATCCACCCCCATGTCCTCCACGACCCTTCATTGAGTTGCTATTCTACCTTGTATGTTGGCTGGCTGGCTACCTTACTATTTCGGTCCTGGTTCCGGGGAGGCCGTCAATGAAGTGTTTCTGACAGTACAAGATTGTAATGCTGATTACTTACCGGCCACCAGCGCCCGCACAGCTCGTGCACAGGGCATGTGAAAGGCAGCGGTGACCCAATCATGTGTGCCGGATTATATGCTACATCAAAGGACATTCTTTCGACGTCACCCCGTTGCAATGTCTTCTAGTAGTAGATGCTAGAATTGATGTCTTCACTCGCCATTGAGGAGGGTATAAGATATTTTGCTATGAGCGCAAAAGTACAGAATTGCCCAGACACCATTCAAAATTACCGCACCGTCTTTACCATCGGTGTCTTTCTAGTTGCTGAGGGGACCTGTAAGTGGGCGCAAGAAGCCATTATTGGGTCGGTGTATTATTTCACCTAAACCACCAGTGGACGACTGGCTGTTCCATCCGGCGGCAACATGCCGAACGCATAGCAACGTCATAAATTACGGAAACCACGGGGAAATGGCCGTACGAACAGCTCGCTGCTGACAGAGAGCCGAGCGTGAGCCGAGGCCTGCCGATGGGAGTCCCGCGGCCCGCCGCCAAGAACCTTGCCCCCTACGCCCAATCAAGTGCGAGACGTTTGAGGAATTTCTTCTCGCACGCACAAAGGCGGAAATTTCAAGGGCAGCGACCCGCTCCAAGGTTTTAGTTTCTCTCCGTTTATCGGTACTATCTGCCTCTTACCACGATCACTGGAGGGCATCCCGTCAGGCTAGGTACTCCATACTATCGCTATTTTGGGCCTCCGTTGTGATATCAAAAATAAAAAAAATGGGTGCTGTCAGGAAAATCAAGACCAAGCGCAGGACTAGGTAAGGATCCTTCTTCTTGATACTCCCGCATGCGTTGCGCATAGGTGCATGGCTAACCTGTCTCGTATTTGTCTAGAGACTACGATCAAGTCCGCGCGGATATCCAGTCGTCTAAGCATCTCACACAGTACAAAGCTACCAAAGATCCAGAGGACCTGCCCGGCCTGGGACAACACTATTGTGTCGAATGCTCCAAATGGTTTGAAAGCGAGTTCAACCTGGTCGGCCATAAGAAGGGCAAGAACCACAAGAGAAGGTCAGTTGATGGTCTGATATGCTCCGCGCGATTACCCCGGATTTGCGATGCGAGTGACAACTCTATCGCCTCAATGCTCGTCTTGTTGTGCTAACTCAACTGGTCCAAATAGACTACGCATCATCCGCGAAGAAGCTCATTCGCAAAGAGCTGCGGAGGCCGCAGTTGGCCTGGGTACCGACAATGGCGTGAGGGTGCAGGAAGAGACCGTGATGGCCATGGAAGATTAAAAATCTACAAATGGTTCTACACAAGCAATCAGCCTCGCTCCAAAATCGCCAACGTGAAGCAGCGCAGGTTGTATTTGCATGCAAACGACCCTTTCGGTACTGCGACAGACTCTCATGGGCTCGAAAATCTTTTACCGCATAAATGCAAATTTGCAGCCGTTGTCGTTGTCACCAAAGTGATATGATTGGCTGTTTGCGGACAAAGCTTGTCGCCCGACGCGTGATTCGCCCAGTTCACACTAAGCACGTGAAAACATCAGGTGCCGAAAACCGCCATTTTTGTGCCGAACGCACTGCTTCCGTCTTGCGGTGACCCCCCTTGCAAACTGCCGGTTCTCGGAGCGTCGCACAGTTATGTCCCCACTCGGATCGGATCCGACTCCTCTTGGGCAAGAATAATTTACAAGCTGCAATTTTAATTACAGAACGTGGGGAATCGATCGAGCTGTCCTGTTCCTCCTTAGTCGAGCTTCTTGTATAAGTTCAGGCTTCTTGTAGATATCTCATAAGCCATTCGTAAGTCGCCCACTAAAGTACAGATTGTCAGCGCTGTCCAATCTGTCGTTTGCAACAATCTCACATACCTGAACCGCATTCACGATGAATGCCCTAAAGCTACACACCCCGAGGCCGCGGTAGAAGGCCTTCAGACCCTCAGTCTGATAGACCTCCCTGGCAACTTTAATTGAGCTTGCATCGCGTGTGTGTATGCGAGACGGTAGAAGAGGGCGATCCTGAGATGTTTCAATTGTCCCAGCCTGCAGTCTTGTCTTGATCACGTCTAGAGGGAAGACCGACACCCAGGTGACAACGCCAGCAATGCCGCCGCAGAGGAGGATCTTCAATGCAGCCAGATTCGTAGTATCGTCCTCGGAGTCCATGAGACGCTTACAGTACTCGTAAGACCAGAAGCTGTGGCGGTGTAGGTGTAAGGTCAGTGTACGTCCTGTCAACGAGCCGCAGAGGGTAACGGCGGGGGGAAGATCCGGGGCAGGCAGATCGCATACTAAAACCCATAGCCAATGGCGTCTCTGGCGCAAGTGATTCCTCCTGCATAGTATAGGCCCCTCCAGCCTCGGGTACTAATAATATCTTTGGCAACGGTCCAGGAGGAGATCCCGGGCCGGGTGTCCAGTTGGGCTCGACATTTGATAAACTCTGTGGGAGACGATACGGTCCAGCTGGCTAGTCCACCTGCAGCACCTGCGAGCCACACTTTATACAAAGACGTCCCTTGGGGTGAGGTCGGGTCTGTAATGGCTGTGTCCAGGGTCATCAACGACCGGTTGTAGGCCACGAAGAGCAGAGCGTTTAGCGCTCCATAACCCAGTATCGGAGCAGCGGAGCCTGTAATCAACCATTAGCATGGGTTCTCGGTTTCGTTCATACAGTAACAGGGTTCATCGTGCTTACAGACCTCGCACCAGAGAAGTAACGCTCTCCAGGCGGCTCAATTGCTGGGTGGTTGATGATGCAACGACTTCTGCATGCTGTCCCGCCTGCAGTCGAACCTTGATAATGTCAAGCGGATTGCCGATGATGATCCCAATAGCACCGCTCAAGTAGCCAGCCCAGAAGTCGGCGGACATAGCATATGTGATACGATTGGAGGGATTCTGGCTTTCAGCAACGGTGAATCGTCGTAGTTGGTACACAATTGCTATGTCATCACTGACTAGAGAGCATTGACAGGCGGCGTGGATATATTATCTAAACCATCCCGCACTAAGAAGCGACCCGAAAGTTACTATACTCGATAGGTCCTTAGCACTAACAGGTCTCTGCGGGGTATTTTGCACTCGGGGTTTGGTCTAAAGCTGAAGCCTCGGGATAGACATCTTCCAAGATAGGAACCATGAGAAGAAGCCGGAGTCAGAGACGCCCAGTGTCGCTACTTAGCTCGCCAAGCTAGTGGGTTCAAAGGTGTCTGTCCTCTCTGCAACACACCGCATTTTCACTTACATCGTCACAGAACAGTATTTGTGCATATATTTCATGTACTTGTACTGCTTCCATGCTGTTGTTTTAGGCATTATTGCGACGTATCACTGAAATATATAACGCCGTTCTCAAGCCATAAACGAGTCCGACACTGCAAGGTTCACCGCAGCGGCCCAATGGGCAAATTGAGAACCACCATAGGTATTCCCTATAAGCTACTCCGTACTGAGCTCCGATATAAAGAATCTCAACTCATCGGAGCCATTGTACATGGCTAGACAACTTATCAACTTCCGAAAACGATTTGATGCTGCCCGCAGCTTTAGTTTTATCTGAAGGGACTAGTGCACTTTTATGGACTTTAGCATGAATAGGTGATACCGAGTCCAACCAGTTGATGGGCGCCCGAGGCATCATAATCTGCGTAGCTTTTGATAATGAAAATCTAGTAGCATTCTTCTCAACTGCGCCAGTTTAGTTTGCCTCAAGTTCGCACGTTTACCAAAATCCGCAGCGGCCAATTGTTGACAGGATCATGTGACCACGCGATACTTTGGTGTCCAGCAATCTGTAGGCAAACGCGCTAAGATGTGGCGAGCGCGTCCTACTGACTCGGCGAAACAACAACCGCCACCAGCGACCAAGCGACAGTTAGAGGGTGTCAAACACAGGTTGATACGTATCATCCATGTAAGGTCTCTTTATTTGCTATCCCTTTACTCTTCTAATGTACATAGGTATCGCCCACGACCCGTCCTGAAAGAGAATGCCACGAGCACGCCGGTGAAGCTCCAACCCGGCACTCCCGGGAGCTCCATCGACCGGCTCTCGAGACCCTTCAAATGCCCGGGATCGGCCACCCCTACCCGCACATCAGACAAGCCCGCGAGGAAGAGACGGAAAGTGAACTATGCTGGCGCCGACGGAGATGACAATGATGAGGGTCAAAAGCCGTACACGAACGAGGACCGTCTCGCGCTCGCCACCCGGGACGTAAATAGGTTTCCTGTCTTCAAACCGAAGGACAAGGACACAGCTTTCCGACAGAGATTCAAGGTGCCTCTCATCAACAAACAGGTTGACGGTTTTGGTGCCCGACCAGCCCCGACGCTGGGGATGAGGCAAGGCGCTACGTTCGTTGTGAAACCGTTGCATGACCCAAGTGGCGAGTTCGCGATAGTGCTCTACGACCCGACTGTTGACGATGTCGAAAAAGCAGAGTCCAAGGAAGAACCGCAAGGCGATGCAGAGGGTGAAAAGCCTCAACTGGATGAACCACTGGTACATAAGAGCTTGGCAGATATTCTTGGACTTAAGAAGAAGGTTGAAGACAGACCTAAGGTCCCCGTTGTCATCGATCCACGGCTGGCGAAGGTTCTACGGCCGCATCAGGTGGAAGGTGTTAAGGTGAGTGTCGGTCCTGTTGAGAGATGCGCTGCTTTCTTTGGCTAATATGAAATCTTACCTAGTTCCTTTATCGGTGTACAACCGGCATGGTAGACAAGAATGCGAATGGGTGCATTATGGCTGATGGCATGGGCTTGGGTAAAACGGTATGCTAATCGCCTACAATTCAATTCCATCTACTAATAGTAGCAGCTGCAATGCATCTCATTGATGTGGACATTGCTCAAGCAATCCCCGGAGGCTGGAAAGACGACCATACAAAAGTGCATCATCGCGTGTCCATCCAGTTTGGTCGGAAACTGGGCCAATGAGCTTGGTAGGTTACAAGCAAAGATTAAAAAACACATAAACTGATAATATTTGCAGGGAAATGGCTTGGCAAGGATGCAACCACACCATTTGCAGTCGACGGCAAGGCCTCAAAGACGGAGCTTATTGCTCAAATGAAACAATGGGCCATCGCGTCCGGACGATCGGTCGTGAGACCATGTCTGATCATTTCTTATGAGACCCTGCGCTTATATGTTGATACACTGAAGGACACCCCGATCGGATTACTACTATGCGACGAAGGCCACCGACTGAAAAACAAAGAGAGTTTGACCTGGACTGCACTCAACAGCTTGAATGTACAACGTCGGGTGATCTTGTCTGGTACCCCAATCCAGAACGATCTGTCGGAGTACTTCTCACTTCTCCATTTCGCGAATCCGAACCTGCTGGGATCGCAGAACGACTTCAGAAAGAGGTTCGAGTTGCCAATTCTTCGAGGAAGAGATGCCGCGGGCTCAGAAGAAGATCGAAAGAAAGGAGATGAGCGGCTGGCTGAGCTTTCAGGCATTGTGAACAAATTTATCATTCGCCGAACGAACGAGCTGCTGTCAAAGTATTTGCCGGTCAAGTACGAGCATGTCGTATTCTGCAACATGTCCCAGTTTCAACTCGACCTCTACAATCACTTCATTGAAAGTCCGGAGATTAAGAGCTTGCTCAGGGGTAAAGGGAGTCAGCCGTTGAAAGCTATTGGACTCTTGAAGAAGCTCTGCAACCATCCTGATCTCCTCAATCTATCCACAGACCTTCCAGGCTGTGAACACGCATTTCCGGAAGACTATGTTCCTCCCGAAGGACGAGGACGCGACAGGGATATCAAATCGTGGTATTCCGGCAAGATGATGGTCTTGGACCGTATGTTGGCACGTATCCGCCAGGACACGAACGACAAGATTGTTTTGATTAGCAATTATACGCAGACATTGGATCTTTTCGAAAAGCTTTGCCGGTCACGGGGATATGGCTCCCTGCGATTGGACGGTACCATGACCGTGAACAAACGACAAAAGCTCGTCGACAAGTTCAATAACCCCGATGGCGAGGAATTTGTGTTCCTTCTCAGCAGCAAAGCGGGTGGGTGTGGTTTGAACTTGATAGGTGCAAATCGGCTGGTCCTGTTCGATCCCGACTGGAATCCGGCAGCCGACCAGCAAGCCTTAGCGCGTGTCTGGCGTGACGGTCAGAAAAAGGACTGCTTCGTCTACCGCTTCATCGCCACTGGCTCGATTGAGGAGAAGATCTTCCAGCGTCAATCGCACAAACAATTACTTTCTTCGTGCGTGGTGGACTCCGCCGAGGACGTCGAGCGACACTTTTCT